AACCTCGCTTTGCGTGGAAAGTAAAAAAATACAAAGAGCTTCGTCTCTGGAAATGTAAAGAAACACTTTTTTCACGTCTGATCTACATAAATACAATGTAAACAACCTTTATTTTTCTTTATTTTATATTTTGATATAAAAAATAAAATATCTCGTAAAATATTTAGTTTTAGATATTTAATTTTCGATAATCTAACCGTAATACTTTTATGTACAGAATAATGAGACAAATCAATTAGTGTAAAGAAACAACAAATAATTGTTTAAAAAAATACATTAATAATAATTACATACTTTTTCTTAAAAACAATTATTTTTTTATGCTAATTGATTTGTCTCATTATTCTGTACATAAAAGTATTACGGTAAAATTATCGAAAACTAAATATTTTACGAGATGTTTTATTTTTTATATCAAAATATGTCAGAATAAAATATAAAATAACCCAAAAAGTATTAATGAAAAAATACTTTATCATAGTGTTTTTCAAAAAGTACTTAATAAAAAAATACTTTATTATAGTGTTTTGGAAAGCTCTCGAGATAAGCTACAAGAATATGCAATAAAAAAGAGGGGTTCCATTTACAAAAATGAAGATGACTTTCAAATCTCCTAAGCGCCTCCACCTAAAAAAAATGCTCACTTCCACAAGATTTCCCCTTTGATACCATACAACTTTTATTTCAAACATTTTCCTTCAAACGTTGATCCTGAAAAGTTATGAGGGTGGAACTTTTAAAATGGGACACCCTGTATATGCAGGATGTCCCACCAAAAGTAGCCACCCCCTTTTATCTTTTAAACTAAAAGAGATAGACCGTAACAAATATATATCAAATTAAATGGTTCAAACTGAACTCTATTGTGAGCATAATGATTGTTTCTAAAAACTATCTGTGTTAACGAACGGAAAGATATGCATAATTTTTTTATAATAATGTGAATATTTTAATATAATAAAAGTTGCAGCGATGTTTGAAACGAATACAACAATGTATGATATAATGTAAATATTTTACATATTATACGAGTTTTATCGATTTGAAATATCGCGGGCGACGTCTACTTTTTCACTTTCTGCCCTGCGTTGTGGCAAACTTCTGACTCGTGCATTAGAGATTGACATATGTCATGTTGTCATTTGATCATAATATTCAATTCAAAGTTGATCATATCGCACAGGGCCGAAAATGAAAAGATACGAAAATGAAAAGGACGTCGTCCGCGATATTTCAAGTTGATAAAACTCGTATAATATGTAAATATTTACATTATATCATACATTGTTGTATTCGTTTCAAACAGCGCTACAATTTTTTTATATCGGAAAATTCACATTATTATAAAAAGATTATGCATACCTTTTCATTCATTAACAGATAGCTTTTGGAAGCAACAACCATTATGCTCACAATAGAGTTTAGTTTGAACCGTTTAATTTGATATACAGGGTGTCCCAGATCATTTGGGACAATACTCGTGTGTAGATAGAGCGGACCAAACTGAGTCGAAAAGTCCTCTATCACTTTTTTTAATAACGCTTAATAAAGGAGTTATTATTGAGTTAAGTCTGGCCAATCAGCGCCGATCTTTAGCCGGGCGCACGTCGGTGAGCCGCGCACCGTGAAGTATGCGCTGCCGCATACTACCAGGCGCGCGGAATGTTTGCTCGGCTTGAATTACGCCTCGTACTGCGAAGAAATTAAATATTACGTTCTTCTATAATTCGGGCGCAAGACCAAAGCAATTCTCGATATTGCCTCGCCAACGGCGATCTTATCGCCCGCTATTATCGCGAAATTATCAATACGCAACTTAAGATTAACAGGCAATTAATGCAACGCGGACATGCTTCGATTTCGGACGGACATTTTACACAGAATCGAATGCTCGGCACACAGACGCACGCAATTCATGCAAGAATCGTGAGGAAATTCTCACCAAAACGCGCTCACAATTTCGAGACGCGGTGCTTTACAACCGACATAAGACTTCGAATTTACGCGGTTCACACTCTCACGTAACCCGTACAATAATCGTGAAGGAAAGTCGTATCTTCCATATTTTTCGAGATATTTGACTGACTCTTTTAAAATGGACCACCCTGTATATATATATAAATGATACTCACATATTTCACAATAAGAATGTATACTTTATATTTATATAAAATGAACTCGATGTTGGTATTGATGTCCCAGTAAGAATAAGGAAAGAATATTAAAATGTGTCCATTTAAATTGTTGATGCTAATCGATCTTTCATAGTATGACTGTCAACCAGTTGATGTTGATCCTTGCTGCATCGACAATTTGAGAATCCATCCAAGGATTAATTAAAGACAAAATGGGATCACAACTTGATCTACGGTCCGTACAATATCTAAATTGAGAACAGAATCGAGAATTAATCTCAAAATAGGATATATACATTTCATTGCAGATTTTATTTACATTACATTATATTATACTTTGTAAAATTAAAAAGTTAATACTAAGAAAGAAAGAGAAAAAGAGAGAGAGAAGAAATATTATGTAATTATTAATAATTTAGGAAAAATATAAATTCTTTCAACATTTTATAATCTTGAAAAAAATGTCTTATGATTTTCTTCATTCTTTAAAAGTAATATATTAAACTTGTATTAAAATATATATACTTATAAACGCGATAACAATATCGGCATGCTGTCATTACTGTCGATTTAATATGCCTTTCTTAAGAGTAGAAAGAAACAAGCAATTATTCTCGAGTAATGAATAATAAAATAAATTAGTTATAAATTGCTCACCTCGAGGTTGCTCTGCAGTCACTCGATGTCTTTTTGAGTCTTCTTTTCTACTTCATTTTTCATTTTTTACTGCTTCTTTGCATATGATTACGGCACTCATCACTCGCATAATCACGATTGTTTCGACACACTTGTGAGATAATAGCTAATTATAAAAAACGTATAATTTTTCGAGGTATAATCCGATATATGAAACCTTCTTATTCGAGTTTCGCCGTATGACTGATACTCAGCAGTGAAAGAGATAACGCACATAAGCATGAACCGCGTATGTGTGACGCGCAGAGCGCTCTGCTCACACGTACGCGGTTCACGCATGTGTGCGTTATCTTCTTCACAGCCGAGCCGGTGAGCCAAGACCTCGTATGGCTTGGGTTGAGCGCGTATATCATTGTATTATTCGCAGAGGAGGCCAAATTCCTTTGTATAACAACATTCGATGTAAACATTATGTAATAAACCGCTTTCGCGAGGCGGTGACGGATAACTCGGTCGGGATCCGGGGCTCGTGAAAGGGTATCGAGAGACGAACGAAAGTGATGTTGAAGTGATGTTAGGTAGAATATAATTTATTGCATGTGTGGTGTATATGTACAGCGTGTGTGTTTATGTGTGTAAACGTGTATACGTGTGCGTTGGTATGCGTGTGAGACGAGTGACGAGTGAGTGAGCGCGAGAATATATAATAATAATTAGTCGTACGCAAGAGTATCGTTATGTATATATGAGCGAATGATACAAGCGTGTGAGTGCGTGTCGGTGTGCGTGAAGCGGTCGCCTGTACGGCGATACAGCGGTGTGCGGTGTATAAATGATTATAAGCCAGTGATGCCAGAATGGCTACGCTAGCAACACGCAACCGTAGTGGAGGGGATGCGCTATTTTTTTTGAAAACTCCTCGCGATCTAAATCAGGAGACAATTTATTATCTGTGATGGAAAATCCGGATGTTGCGTGTTGCTAGCGTGGCCATTCTGGCATCACTGTTATAAGCGCGTGAGTTTGTGTGAGTCTGTATAATGTAAGATGCAGGATGTACAGCGGTACGGTCGTGTCGGGTGCGGTGCATCTAATGCAACGCATGGATGCGTTGCGCGGTTCGTGATTTCGGCGGATCGATGGAATATCGATTATGGATCGCGGGCCGCGATTTCGGCAGATGCCGTTAGCTACCGGGCGGTAATTTTGGTCGGGCCGGTGGGCGGTCCTTCGACGCGTATGTATTGATCGCGTATGTCGATCGGTGTCGCGGTAGGGACGTGGATCATCCCTCGGCGCGGGACTTAGCGCGCCGTATCAATGGCGAGTCTGGATGACTAAATGGCGGTCGCGGATGTCTTAGATAAGCGCGTATAGTGCGTTCTGTATTGAGTCGGAATGGTCTTTCCCCGCGGAATTTGGGAGTGCAACGGTCGACGAGAACACCCGTCGATGGTAGGGAACTCCCCACCACTGGAAGATCGCCGTTGCACGCAGGTGGTCGAATTTATGTGAGGTGTCGAGAACTCTCGACGGGGACGAGTACGCCCGTTCCCGTGTACCTCTCTTTAAAGGTTTTCGGACGGATTGCTCTCGGAGATGCCGCAAACTCTCGGCGGAGGCTGAGTACACCCAACCCCGTTGTTCTTTCTCTTAGGAGCCTTATCAGGATTTTGGAAGGTTTCAGACGTCTTACTGACTCTGCTGGATCGGAAAGGTCTGGTCTCGATAATCAGAAACGCGCTCTATTTATACTAATTCTCCGGCGCGCGCGTCTGCGTAATTCGCGTATTGTTCTAACG